CCGGACTGTCCGGTTTTTTAAAGGTTTGTCCGGTGTCCGGACGCATGATGAAAATGTCCGGGAATATCTGTATAATTAATAATAATTAATATATATATATATATATATATATATATATATATATATATATATATATATATATATATATATAAGAAAATATTTGGTTTGATTTTCCATGCTTTTCCATCCATAGACGCGTTTCGACCTATCAGGTCTCATCAGTATGGCTAGGAAAAGCAAAGAAAACCAAACCAAGTTTCGTGCCTGTAGGCAATATATACATAGTACAACGGTGGAAAAAAACTATGGATGGAAAAGCATGGAAAATCAAACCAAATATTTTCTCATCAGTGGATAATAGGTTTTCCTATTCTGGGTTTCCCCACGAACTGAAATTTGGTTGGCCGATTAGATTACTCAGTCACCATATTGCAGCGAAAATTGCTGCTTGGTGTTGAAGTTTTGTCTTAGATGGCGCCACGATCAAATTTCGACCGTTGTACTATATATATATATATATATATATATATATATATATATATATATATATATATAAATTAATGCCACTCTTCGTTGTAATTTTATAACTGAAGAACGGGCCCACCTAGCCAAACCAAATATTTAGGCTTTGTTCGGACTATTTATTAGATGGTTTATGTGAAGTTTGCACAAAATCGGTCGAGCGGTTCTTCATTTATCACATTTTTTGTAATAAATGAATTATTCAATAAATGGAGGATCATTTTGTTATCATTATTATCTATATATAAAACACAGTTGTGTTGGTTCTAGCACTTATAACTCGAGAACAGCTGGACTGATTTTTATGATTTTTGCTTTATTGGATTTGTCTTTGTCCATAGGTACTAACATAATAAATCGAAAAAATCCAAAAAAAAGGACAAAAAACAAAATCACCTATTTTACTTATTTATGAAAAAAATTCACTAAGCCCGCATACGGCGCCATCTCTTATAACCGATACCAAGTTTACCGCCACATTTTCATTGCAAACCATTTTGTATACGGCGCTCTGATACCTAGAACGAAGCTCGCCGTTGCGCGGTAATTTCATTGCAGATACAGTAGAACAATGCTACTCAGGAGCTGGAGCTATTCCGAACAGAACTATTCCACTATTCCGATCAGATAGAGTGGTGCAGAAAGAGTAGATCAGATAGAATAGTGCAGATAGAGTAGAACAGATGGAGTAGTGCAGTGCAGATAGAGTGAAACAGGGCTGCGCTGGAGATTTTTTTGTTTTTTTACATTCTTTGAACATTCCTGTGCCTGAGTTTATTTATTTGATGGTATACTTTACAAGAATAATGTCCACAAGCTGCCTAAAAAGGGATGATGTAAAATATTAATTTAAGGTGACTTCTGATCCAGAGAGTAAACATTAATTTTTTTCAACCAAAGCCAAATTCACCATCGAAAAAAACTGAATTTAATTCAGCTAATAGATACGTTCACACAACATTTAATAGGAATTTAATAATTCAGAGGCGGTACGAAGTTCGCCGGGTCAGCTAGTACTTTATATAAAAATACCTGATACTTATTGAATGACGGGTGTCACGAACGTCTCCGATTTCCAGTTAGCGACGGAAAAGTGGATTTTTTCTGCCTAGGCAGAAAAGTTCGTTACTAACCATTCAACAAACGTTATAACCGCAATTGATGAATATAAGAAAGTCGATTATGCGTGAAATTGTAACAAATTCGGAGAAAAAATGATATGCTTCATACGGCAAAAGATCAGATTTAATGTCTTGCACACACACAACAAATAATTATGTACAGGGTCATTTTTTATATTTTCCCACCCCCCTTAACATTTTTGTGCCACTGTGTATAGAAAAAAATTTAATAGGCAAGTTGTAGTGCTTGAAAAATAGTTCTCAGAAATCATAGTTTTGTTTATACAGGGTGTTGCAAAAAATTAAAAAAACAAAAAAAAAATATTTAAATGGGACCCCCTGTATATTATGACATTTCTGGATTCTGCGGAAAATTCCAGACATATTTCATATACAGGGTGTCCCACGAGGTTTTTCCCAAATGATAACTTCGGAACGACTCATCGTATGTTCCACTGTATAATTATCTTTATCATTTTCTTCTAAAAAGCCTTAACAAATATGGCATGGCCAATTTTGTAATTTAATTTTCTAACAAAAAATGCCATAATATACCATGAGTTACATTTAAGATTCGAAAGTTAACGTCAGTTGACTGAAATTAAAGCGAAAGTGGTGAAATTGGATGACAATGGTAGAAGCGGCACAAAAAGTTACCCAGATCCTCAAAATTTAAATTATATTGGATGACGCGTTCCGAAGTTACCACCTAGAAAAAACGTCGTGGGACACCCTGTATAATGTTATATACCTATCTTCAACTGTTTCGGAAATAATGACAGTAGAAAATTGACTTTTTTGCATCTTTGACAGACTGTAAAACCTAAACGGTTGATTTTACAGCAAAACCGATCATACATGCTTGTCTTATTTTTTTATAAAATATCATTTGATACCAACTTTGAATTTAATCCATGATTGAAATTTCCAATTAAATTTAATCTCCCGGTTAAATTAGTGTCAAATTGCTAACTTATGAAAAGCTGCAGACGTGAATGTAAAATCGGTTCTGCTGTAAAATTAACAGTTACAGCCTCTCAAAGTTGCAAAAAAGTCAATTTTCTACTGTCATTATTTCCGAAACAGTTGAAGATAGGTATATGACATTATACATGAAATATGTCCAGAATTTTCTGAAGAATCCATAAATGTCATAATATACAGAGTGTCCGATTAAAAAAATTATATTTTTTTTGTTTTTTAAACTTTTTGCAACACCCTGTATGAACAATACTATGTTTTATGAGAACTATTTCTCAAGTACTACAACTTTCCTATTTAAATTTGTGTCGTTCTCCCTGTTCACTTACAAGTGTTTCTATTTTTTTTTTTTTTTCAATTTTAAAATATACAGTACATAATTGTAACTACAAGGGGTGGCATCTAAAATTAGGTAGGTATACGTTTTTTAATTTTTGTCTAAAAATTCATTTTACAGATATGAGTGTAAATTATGCCGCAAAAAAAGGTAAGCTTCGATTATGTACGGGTTTTCGGAAATCAAAAGGTGGCAACCCTACCATAGATGGACAGAACAAATTGAATATTTTTAAAAAATATTTAAGATTGGGATTGGCGGATTGGCAAAAAAAATGCTTCGCGCCTCTCACGTTAAATTATAAAATAGCTCAGTCGAAATAAAAGTAAAATAAAAATTATATTCTAAGAGTAAGGATTTTATGAAATGCAGGACATTTGGTGTCCTGGGGACAACTCCGGCAGGACGCAGGACACAAGACCCTGAATCCAGGACATCCTGCGAAATCCAGGACGCCTGGCAACCCTAGGTGCAAGACAGTTGCGAAAAATAAACCTTCGTTAAAATATAAACCTCTGTTTAACCATAGACTTAATTTAACTAACGGTGCAAGTGGGCATAAGGGAATCCTTATTTTCGGACCCAAATGCGCATGCGTAGATGTCAAAATAAGGCTAATTTAAATACTGCTTGTCCTTATTGCACGTCCAATAACTCTCTAATTTCTCGCAAAAACCGCGAATTTGGCGTAACTGAGAATGAAGCTTTAGTATGAGTATGACGTCGGAAATGATGGAACACGGATATGGCGGCGATTACCAAAAACGAGGCCGATTATCGGCCGATAAGCAAATCTGTAGGTGTGTATCAAGGTTCCTTAATAGTTGTATTCCTTTCACACCTAGGAGGAGCTCCGGGGCTTCACGCGCTTATTCCTTTCGAAAAGTGTTTGTTGCACCACGACCACGCATATATTCCCTGCAAATCGGGGGCGACTAAACACCGAAGCGAGTAGCTCGAGTGTTTCAAGCTCTTGGAAGGAATACAACTAATGTAAATAGGTTGCTCGGTAATGGGCAAATGGGCTTGCACCGAGCATACGTTTTAAATAAACGAACGGTAAATTCAAGCTCGGAGAACTCAGATCAAAATACCGAACGCATGGTTAGATATAACTTACTTTTTCCGCTCTTCTTTTTTTTACGAGCTCTAGAGCTATTCCTTCGAAGTCATCATCAGAGCGAACCCAAACGATCCGGAACTCTTGGAACAAAAAAATGTCGAACAGCTGATTTTCAAATTTCCCGCTTCGGATAGTGTAGTATTTCATTTTTTATTTTGATGATATTCCAAGCAATAAATCAACGATATGAGTAATAAACTTAGAGCAGGTAAAGGTAAAGGAGTAGTAACCTGGATTTGGAAAATGAAGCCGTTTTTTTCCAGGTATCTTGGCCCACAAAAAATGGCGGTTATGGCGATTCAATGCTCTACCTGTATTTTGGTGCCAAATACCTGCCAAAAACTTGGCTTCATTTTAGTTTCATAAGCAGAATGGCGCGTTCCTACTGTTTCTGCAGAAATCACAAATCAGTCAGAAAGAATTTCATTGGTTGAAAACAGTCAGAAAACTAGTTCCAACCAATACGTCTGTTTCTGCAGAAATCACAAACCAGTCAGTGAATTTCATTGGTTGAAACTAGTTTCCTGACTGTTTTCAACCAATGAAATTCGCTCTGACTGGTTTGTGATATCTGCAGAAACAGACCTAATGAAGTTCACTATTCACTCAGACTGGTTTGTGATTTCTGCAGAAACACACCTATTGTCAGGCCCACTTTATTCATCTTTAGATGAACTTGCTGGTAAATTACTATCTGCGAGATAAATTTACAATTATTACGGTTCTATAATTCTATTGGTTGGCAGATAACTGGCCAACCAATGGGATTACAAATTGCGTTTTTATCCCTCAGGTTGCATACCTGCTAACAGTTAATTAGAAGGTGAATAAACTGGCCCCAAGGACGAAGACTGAACAATCTATTTTCTGAGAAATAAAAAACAAACACATTTTCAAACATTTTTATTTCCATTACAAAATGGTTACATTTTTTTTCTGGATCGCTTGCTTCATTTTCCATCTTAAATTGAAATGCTTAGTAGGTCCGGATTGGCTCCTTATCTCCATCCTTGGTAGTTGTAGAAATAGTAGTGAAGATTTCTCACACAATCACAAATCAAATAGGGGTTTAATGATTCCTAAGTAAATTCAGTTTATTGGCAAATGATTTGTGATTGCTATGAGAATAATCTTGGAAGCTGACTCAAGTTTACACTCATATTATGTTCAGGGCTTCTTTGGTAAATAATTGATAACCTTTAATTTACATCTAGGGCTGTTGAGACTCTGAGACTCTACGATTTTACAATTTTTTTTTTTGTCTCGGGGTCTCCCATCTATAAGTTAAAAGTTATCCATTATTAACGGAGATATATGACCTTTTAAAATAAAATGATGTAGCTAGTTATTTTATGCCCCAGTTAAAAATAGATGTTAATCTGCTGGGTAGGTGCTGATCATGGGCTTCTACATGTTGATTTAGGTAACCATTGTAACCAAATAAAAGAAGCTTTTTTTTTGTTGAATTGATCTTCGCCATCTAGATTGGATTGGAACCTTGGATTTATTGAATATGGACCATCTCTCTGGATTGGAACATCTTGAGAAAAGGGAACTTTTAATGTGGCGTGCCTATTGAATTTCTAGTAGCGTTTTGTTTTAGGATTGATGGCAGCTGTGTTGCCCTTCAAGAACATTTTTTTTTGGAATTTGGCCTGTTTTTTTTTTAGATGTGGAATTATTGGCATTGACTATGGGATTTTGGACTACCACCTATAAACAATATTTTTTTTCTTAATTTATGGTGTGCGCTATAGCCTAAAAAATTTAAATAAAATTATAACTTTTGGGATTTTAGGTATACCTATGCCAATGTTATAATTTTATTTACTTTTTGTAATTGTGTGCTACTTTTACATGCATGTTTATAGTTTTTATTTTACTTATAATGGCATGTTCTATTTTATTAAATATTTATATTCGATAGGACTCAAACATATTAAATTTAACTCACAAAATATGTAATTATCAAAAAAAAAAAAAATTATACAAAGCTCTCCTCAAGTTCAAGTTGGGAATCCATTGATAAAGATTTAAAAGAGAAAATCACTTTGCAAATAGAGTGAATTTTTTATTGCAATTTTATAAATTTAGATTAACCTAATTTCTTTTATTTGATATTTGAGGAAAATTTGTCGAATCCCTAGATTTTTGAGTACAAAAACTGTATATTTGAAGAAAAAAATATTTCAGTATAAAGTATTATAAGTTTATGCCAACTTTTTGACTTGAAAGTATTTTTTTTTCCTTCTGGTTTTCAATTGATTTAGTATGTCGTAAATTAGTATTATTTTTAGTCCAGATTTATTTAAAAAAAAAATGCAAAATGTTAATGTAATGATAAAACCTGTTATTTCAAATTAACTAAACGAAGGAAAATTAATTGCCAAAAAGAAGAAAATAATTGAAATTTATTAATTAAAGACAATAATCAAAATTAAATTTTAGGTGGTCAGAAAGTTTAAATTATATTTTGTCTTAAATTAAACTTGTTTTGATAAAATTTATCTTGCAGACTTTATTGAAAATTATCTAAATCTATTAAAAAAAATATTTACCCAAAAATTATGTTGTCAAGATAAGAAACTGCATTTGGACCCTTTAGTGCTCTGCATTGGCCTCTTTTTGGAAACTTTGAAATTTGGAACCCCATATTGTCGGCTATATTGGAATAGAATTAAAACAATGCGGACAGCTGCCTCTTCTTGGATGGAGAGTTTAGATAAAGTTTGGGGTCAGCTACAATTTTGTACACAATCGTTTGATCAGCCCCACCAAAATTGGAATGGAACCCATTTAGACGTTGGCGCAAGTACCTGGATTGATGACCTTTTCGAGGGGGGAACTGTACTCTCAATATAGGGATGTGGGATTGGATTGAATACCTACACAAAATATGAAATTATTTTAATATACAAATTATAATGATTATTTTTATTAATCAAAACTAATCTATATCAATAAACCAAAAAATTATTTCTTGAATAAAATGAATACATTAATTTCAATGTTTCTAGATAACGCTGCTTATATACTGACGTTATCTAATTTAAAGTAAAAATAGAAAAATAATAGTCACACAAATAAGATAAGTTGGCAACCATTGAATATTAGATTAGAAGACATTGGTTACATTTAAATGCTAAGGGAAGATACAAATTTTTTAAATCTAGGAGTAAGGTTTCATTGTTATACTATTCATATAAAAACTGTATTAAATCAAGAGTAAGACAAACCAAAAGAATAAGTAAGTACAGAACAACAGTACTAATTTCAAGCAGTTGAAAATGAGTTTTACTGCAAACATAAAAATACAGTTTTAGTCCCTGGATCTAGACCTGGACCTAGATACAGACTTCTTTCCCGAGTCGTTCATTGGAGACCTAGATCTTGACCTAGAAGCATCCTTAGACCTGGAACGACGTGCAGATCTAGAACGAGACCTGCTGCCCTTACGGCCACCAGAACCTTTTCCTGATTCAACTACTCTGATTCTGCGTCCATTGATTTCAGTATCATCAAACTTTTCTATAGCATTTTTCATGTCTTCAAGGGAGGCAAACTCGACCACTCCTTCATTGGGATTTTGTTTGTGAGCATCGGCATAAGTTACTTCTCCAGCTTTACGCATATAGTCTTTTAAATCCTGCCAGGAACAACGACTGGACAAATTCTCGATGATCACTTGGTATTTGGTCCTGGTAGGGGGCCCATATTTGTCCCGGCCTCTGGATTCTCCACCGCCTCCGCCGCCCCTGTCTCTGCCGCCGCCTCTCCTCGACGAGGAGTTGTAGCCCCTGGAATCCCTACTATCTCTATAACGATCGCTACCCCTCGGGGTACCCCTAGCGCGTTCTACAGTAATTCGTTCGCCCATAAGATCCTTACCGTTCATTTCGTAAACGGCGTCCTCGGCATCTCGGTAATCCTCGAATTCCATAAAGGCGTAGCCGTTTTTCAGTGAAATTTCCTTGATCCTGCCGTAGTTGCGGAAGAATTTTTCCAGATCTCTTTCGCGCACTTTATAGGTGAGCCCGCCAACGAAAACGCGTGTACTCATTTCCGTAAATTCGGGAAGACGCTTTAACGACTAAGAAAAATCGGTATAAATAGGCGAAAATTGCAATTTTGAACGACAACGAGGTCTACGTTCACCAAAATCACCAATTTACAAAACAAAATGGAGGACCGGGGACGCGCCTCGACTTCAACTTGATAGGTGACGTTGACAATGTTGACATTAGCTTTGTTCACGGAACATATTCCGAATACTGTTCCTTTTACCCGTTGAGACTCGGAACTGCTCAATGTCAAAAGCTTGAACGTTCCTTTCAAAAGTGCGTTAAGCACTCGAGTCGCTTATAGTGCATCCCTCTTTCCCCTGATGCACCAAATTTGCGGGGGGTGCAAGAAGCCTCTTTAGGTAATGACGGTAATGTTAATATTAAAAAATAATGATAAAAACTGAATTGTGTGTTTTGGAGTGACTCCGAGGAGCTCATTCGGTGTAACTCGATGTATAAAAGGAATACAGTAGAAGATTGAATGAACTGATCGATTTTTCATAGAGCGTAGAGCACATGATTATCATTTCAGCCTTCAGAATTATTCGGAACAGAGAACTAAGCTGAACTAGTTCACAATCAATCCGAACCGATTCTAGTTGAACCACGAACTCGAATAAAGAAGGGTAACAAAAATTTGGAATTTAATAATAAAATAATTATTTGAAGTGCACATGCAAATAATTCCAAATTAGTTCTCAATTCTTAAATATTCCAGTCTCTATTCGATTCTTGGTCTTTATTAGTTGTATTCCTTTCACACCTAGGAGGAGCTCCGGAACAGCTCCGGGGCGTTACGCGCTTACTCCTTTTGAAAAGTGTTTGTTGCACCCAGGGTTGCCAGATCTATGAAATGAAAAAGCGGGACTGATGTTCAGGGATGTGCGTCTACACGTAGACTTTCATTGTCTACTTTACGTGTAGACAATGTAGGGCCGAATTTATAGTCGTTCCTTGAGTCTTCCTTGGAGGTCGTGAGTTTAGAATGGACACTTGCTACTGTTTTGCAAGATAGTCATGTCCATTCTAAACGTCCAAGGCTCCCTTAAGGTCTGAGGAAACCTCAAGGAGCGACTATAAATTCGGTCCGTAGACAATGTAGACAACGCGTCAACAATGTAAAATAAAAATGACGTTTAATTCTAACCTCACACTTTCCTTTTCGAAAATTATTTTTATTTAATTATCGGTTTTCCTCATATTTATAATCAGTGAATGCTAATATCAAAGTGATAGGTATAAGCTACTTAGGTAGTAGTAATTTTGGAACTTTTTTTAAAATTTTCTAAAATAAGTTTATTGTTTACGTCACATGTAGACAATGTGTAGACAAATGCCCACGTAAACAATTCGAATTGTCTACACGTAGACAATCAATTGTTTACGTTGACATTGTCTACAGGCACATCACTGCTGATGTTATCAGAGGGAAAATTTGTTTTTGGGTGCCACGCCCAAAAGCATAAGGGGGGGGGGGTAAAACTGCGTGGATGCCACATTGAAGAAAATTGAATAGATTTCATCCCGTTCTGATATATAATTAATTAAAATCATCTGAAACTCTGAAAAAATAAATGTGGATTATCATTTTGATGTTATAAAATTGGTTTACATCCGAAGGCGCAGTTCATGACCCAGAGGCAGAATAGAAATAACGGAAATATGTATACATTAGGCAATGCAAAATCTCTGATTTTGAAGGTCGTGGTAATCGTTATAGCCGATAAAGGTAACCATAACTGATCCAAAAATTGCTGTTATTTTAAGGGGTGCAAAAATTCTCTAATGTTATGGTTTTTGCTGTTAAACTAATGTAATGTTTTTCACAAGGGTTCCTACTTCGTTCCATAGATGGCGCTTGAAAACGTAGATGAATCAAAACGCCATCTATAAAAAGTTCTCTTTTTTAATTAATTTTATTACTATTATTTTGCTTTTATTACATTATATCATTGTATGTTATAATTAGATTTGAAAAATTGTTTTTAACACGTAAAATCTCTAATCATTCACTTTCGTCACTAGATATTTTATCACTAGTGACGAAAGTTACGTTTTCGGCTAAAGTGAAATATGACGAAAGTTTATTTTTCAATGGTCAGAAAAAAAGTTTTTTGCAGATGCTAGTTTGTGCAATGAAAGATTTGGATTTTGTTGGAATTTTTGACATTTTTATACCAACAATATACAACATTTATTATTAAAACCCAAGAATCGTAAACTAACAGGATCAGTGATGTGCCTGTAGACAATGTCAACGTAAACAATTGATTGTCTACGTGTAGACAATTCGAATTGTTTACGTGGGCATTTGTCTACACATTGTCTACATGTGACGTAAACAATAAACTTATTTTAGAAAATTTTTAAAAAAGTTCCAAAATTACTACTACCTAAGTAGCTTATACCTATCACTTTGATATTAGCATTCACTGATTATAAATATGAGGAAAACCGATAATAAAATAAAAATAATTTCCGAAAAGGAAAGTGTGAGGTTAGAATTAAACGTCATTTATATTATTTTACATTGTTGACGCGTTGTCTACATTGTCTACATTGTCTACACGTAAAGTAGACAATGAAAGTCTACGTGTAGACGCACATCCCTGAACAGGATTCCTCATCTTGAGAAGACGTACATTCGCCGGTTCTCGAGTCCACAAGGTCTGCGAGTGACGTCACTACATCAGCAGCTAATAGTGGTGACGTCACCCGCAGACCTCGATGAAATGCTCGCGATTCAGGGTCGTTATTAGATTTTTGCGTCAATTTTAAATGAAGAAATAGAGACCGGGCACAAATTGAAATTCGCGACCCCTACTGGCAGTTTTTATAAGAATTTGTATAATAAACAATTGGGCTTTTGACAAAATGCCAATATATTCTAACCTTTGGACGAGACTATGCGTTATTTTTTTAATTTGTTTACTTGTCACTCGTATTTCAAAAAATGAAGTTAGAAATAATTTTTTTTTTCCAAAATATAAAATGTTTCCAACACAATGCTGAAGACTGAATAGTTAGGGGTCAAATAAGGAATCAGTTGTGCCCTTCAGTTCAAGTTTGCGCAAGCAAGTTGATGGACATGACGGAACGTCTATCCTGGCCTTACGACTATATTGGACTTCTGTCAGAAGCCCAACTATTTATTATACAAATTCTTTTGAAAACTGCCACTAGGGGAATTTGTGACCTGCGCCTATAGCTATTTATGTAACAAGTTGTAAAATGAGCGTGTTTTTTGCAATAAATGTGAAGATTGGGTGGAAAAAGCGGGAAAATCGGGACAATTCACGTGAAAAGCGGGACCTGAAATTAATTAAAAAAATGCGGGACTGTCCCCCCTGGTTGCACCACGCATCTGTTCCGTTCAAATCGGGCTCGACTAGGGCGAGAACCAGTGTTACCAATGTGTGAGCATTTGCTCACATTTGTGAGCGTTTTATAGATCTGTACCCGTATTCTTGACTGCCCGGGAAGGGAGTGTTCCTGGGAACGTTCCCAGGAAAGCTAGTTCACTTTCGCTCCCGGGAGCTAAGAGGTCGTATTCTTGAATACCCACAAGCGCTCGCAATGTTGCCGCCTATCAGAGTGTCAATCAAACTAACCAAAACGTGTTTCAAGCGAAAAAAGGAAGAGGAAGTTATCTAACTCAATATCTAACCCCACGTTTGATATTTATTGTCTATTTTTCAAAACTTTGAAAGCTGAAAGGCATTTGGGTTTGATAATATATTTATTTTTAACTACCCTATGAACATCATCGCTGTAAGTGTTCGAAAACTGCATTCCTCATGAGATTTTTTATACATGAGGGAAAATTGCGCATAATTTTCTGCAGCATAAATTAATAAATTCCGTATTCCTGCTCCTGAACTTCATGTGGCTCATCAACTTCTGGAATAATGTGTTCTATGCATACCTACTTTTGTAGTTTTGGTTAAAGCCGCTTTGGAGCGGTAACATACGGGAGTAACCATATCCACCATATCCACTATTTCGTGGCATACATTTTTACTTACTCTAAAAAATTTCACGAATTTCTGGCCAATGGAAAAGGCAGAACATCCCATCCTATTTCCTTTGCTTCTGAAGCATTTTTCATGTCTTCTTGGATTATGTTAGGTATGTTATACAAGATAATCTCAATAAAATAATCCACATCCACATTCATTTTAATGAAAAGACACAACGCATACAAAAACGAAAAAACCTTGAATTTGAAAGGAGAAAACGAAAACGTCAAGCTTGAAAACAACGTCAAGTCTTGAGGTTAGAAACCCTGACGGGAATTCGTTTTCTCTTGGGTAAGAGGATGGGAACTTCAGAATTCCCGGGAACTTTCACTTCACAGTCCCATTTTCAAGAATATGACATGTACCTTTTTGAGGTAAACCACGTCCACTTCCCGAGCAAGTTCTCCTCCCAGAAATCAAGAATACGGCCCACGTAAAAATGGGAGCGTTGGCAAGATGTGAGCATTTTGTGGGCATTTTTGGTATTTATTAAGCGAAAAAATTAAATTAAATTCGTCCCAGCACGAGTCCACGAGAGCCATGTCATAACTTGTGGCATAGCAAAGACCAAGCGCCAACTTTTTAGACAAGAATTATGTATTCACGTCACGTCTCAAGATTGTCAAGAGGCCATTTTAGAAACGCTGATACCATCCAAGGATGATACACACTCACTGCTATTACTACAGGGTGGCCTATTATCATAAAGCCTGTGAGTAACAAATCCCCCCCCCGCCAAAAATACCAGTTGTGACGTAGACAGAATGTCATTTCATTCATTTCTTGCCTTGACGAAGGCTGTTTAAACAGCTGACGACTTAGTTATGACGTCGGAAATGGTATCACACCAATATGGCGGCGATTACCAAAAACGAGGCTGATAAGCACTCCTTATGCCCCATTCACACTTGCGCGAAATTCGCTCGTTTTTGACATTGCATCGACAAATTGACGTTTGATATACGCATAAAAAGTCAAATTGTCGAAGATATCCCCTCGTTTTTATTCTAATCGGTGACTTCACCGATGAATTAGCTATCTTCGTTTAGTGAATGGAA